AAAATAGATAACCCATAAGATTGGGTTCTTATCAGGATCACAGATGATATGTGTAGCAACATGGAAAATGCTTAGTTATGTTGAGATGTCTGGCTTGATGACAGTGTTAACAGGTGACCAGACCTAGGTCTGAATTGTGTGTTGTAACTAATGAGATATATGTGTTCCTGAAAGATTTGAATGCAGTACAGAAAACACTCAATAAATGGTGYTATGTCTAATCTACATACATATATATGTGCCTTTAAGCTCAGTGTCAATTGTTTATGCAGAGTGAGAATGCTGAAAAGGCTTGAAACTCCCTGTTTCACCATGACCCTCATACTGCCATCTCTTGGCCCCCAGCAAGGCTGCTGTTGTATTAATTATTAATCTGCAGTAATAAGAGAAGCTACTTAAGTCTAAGGCCTGCATAGAGCATTGCATCTGACCTACCAAGTGGGTGGGAATTATTGGAGATATTGTCCTGGCCTCCTTTATGGAATGGGATTAAGATGGAGAGTCAGCTTTATCAGACAGGAGTCTGGCCAGCATCATTAAGCCTTTTCTGAAATGGAAAGGGTGCTACTCCTGCAGTGCTGTTCTTCCACCTCAAGTGAGCAAGTAGAGATCGTGATATGATGTTGAAAAACTTTGGGGGCCAAACTTCATTTGAGTCCTGGCTCTGTCACTTCTCGCTTTGTGACCTTGGCAAGTTACATAAATTCTCAATGCCTGTTTTTTCACCTGTAAGATGGGGACAATGAGAATGCCAATCTCGTAAAATTATTGTGACAATTAAATGAGCCAACAGATTTAAAGCATGTACAATGTTGTCTAGTACCCTGCAAATATATATTTTTTTAAGTGCTGAGGATTGAACCTGGGGCCTTACATATGCCAGACAGATGCTCTACCACTGAGCCACATCCTCAGCTCTTTAACTTTGATATTGATTTTCTGCATTAGATAGCTAGGAACTGCCCCTCTCCCCAAGCTTTGCTGATTTTTTTAGAACTTTTCATTTGATACAATTTCATAAGTGACAAGAATAATACAGAGCAACTTCTGGTGTCTTTCTCAAATCCACCTATTTTTAACATCTTGCCCCATTCACTTTATCACTTGTGCATGCTCATGAGCATGTGCATGTGTTCACTCTCACTTGCCACACACATTTTTTTTGAAACATTAAAGAATAATCTGTAGACCTCATGCTCCTTTATCCATAAGTATTTAGTGTGTGTTTCTAAGAACACAACTTTCTCTTACATAGCTGTAATGCATTTATCAAAATCAGGAACTATAAACATTGATACCATACTATTATCTAATCCATGATTCATATTAAAATTTTACCAGCTTTCCCAATAATATCTTTTATAGCTTTCTCTTTGGGCCTAAAATCAAATCCTAAACGACACATTACAGTTCATTGTCATGAATTTTTAGTCTCCTTTAAACTGGAATAATTCTTCAACCTTTGTCTTTCATGATCTTAACATTAAAGCGTGCAGGCCACTTTTTGAGGCATGCCCCTTAGTTTGTGTTTGTCTTATATTTCCTCATGGTTTGGTTCAGATTCTGTATTTTGGGCAGGAATATTGGAGAAATGCTATTCTGTTCTTCCTAGCACACTGCGTCAGGAGGCACACGATGCCAGTATGTCCTGTTATTGATGATGGTGACAAATTACTTTTAAGATTGTATTCATTAGGTTAATTCACTGTAAAGTTACCATTTCCCCTTTTGTTTTATTTATCTTTTTTAGATTTTTAAATTTGTTTTAAGTAGTTATTAATGATAGTAGATTGCCTTTATGCACTTTGATATATCATACATAGATGGGAGTGTACATCTTGTAGAATCACATTGGTCATGCAGTCACATATATACATAAAGTAATAATGCCTATTTCGTTCTACTATCCTTCCTATCCCCACATCTTCTCTCCTCTCCTCCTTTCACTTCCCTCTACCTAATCTAAGGTAACTCCATTCTTCTCTAGTGCTCCCCACCATTGAGAATTAGCATTTGCATATTAGAGAAACATTTGGCCTTTGTTTTTTGGGATTGGTTTATTTCACTTAGTATGATATTCTCCAACTCCATCCATTTACTGACAAATGCCATAATTTCATTCTTCTTTAAAGCTGAGTAATATTCCATTGAATGTATATACCACATTTTCTTTATCCATTCATCTATTGAAGGACGCCTAAGTTGGTTCCATAGATTAGCTATTGTGAATTGAGCTGCTATAAACATTGACATGACTGCATTACTGTAGTATGCTGATATTAAGTCCTTTGGGTATAAATCGAGAAGTAGAATAGATGGGTCAAATGGTGGTTCCATTCCAAGTTTTCTGAGGAATCTCCATACTGCTTTCCATAATGGTTGTACCCATTTGCAGTCCCACCAGCAATGTATGAGTGTACCTTTTCCCCCACATCCTCACCAACATTTATTGTTGCCTGTGTTCTTGATGATTACCATTCTGACTGGAATGAGATGAAATCTTAATGTAGTTTTGATTTGCATTTCTCTAATTGCCAGAGATGTTGAACACTTTTTCATACATTTGTTGATTGAGTGTATTTCTTCTTCTATGAAGTGTCTGTTCAGTTCCTTAGCCCGTCTATTGTTTTGGTTTTTTTTTTTTTTTTTTTTTTGCAGGGGGTGGTGGGTGGGAATACTGGGGATTGAACCTATGTTTGTTTGTTTGTTTCGCTAAGTTGCTTAGGCCCTCTCTAAATTGCTTAGGATCTCATTAAGTTGCTGAGGCTGGCCTCAAACTTGCAATCCTCCTGTCTTAGCCTCCCGAGTTACTGAGATTACAGGCATGCACCACTCTCCCAGCCCATTTTCCTTTTCTTAATAAGTGATTTGTAAAAAGATACTTTAAGACTTTATGAAGACTCTGTTCCTCATCAAACTGCCCCTCACTAGTTTTAGTATCCATTGATGAGTCTTAGCAGAATCAATTACAATGATGGTTATAAAGTGGTAATTTTCTAATTTCATCATTCCTTCTGTTTTAATTATTATTCTACTGAAAGGGAGAGCATTCCTCTTCCTTTATCTACCATTTAATTATTTATATGAAGATTCTTACTTCATAGATATTCTCACAATTATTATTATTTTAGTGTTCAAACCATCTGATTTAGCCAGCAGAACATATTCAAACTGGCATCTGCATCCTTCTTACATTTCTCAACCAACTGCTTCCTTGCTTTTTGTCACATGTTCTGGGCTCATCTTATATTTTTCCTTCTGCAGCCCTGTAATCAGCCATTTCTCCAATGAGATCTTGGTTCTTCTCAGTGGAGAAGGAAACACATTTGCTTCCCTATCAAGGGCATTCTAACTAAGAAAGTCTCATCTCAGAAGACACCTGTCACCCACTTCCAGTCAGTTCTCCGGGCAGGGCCACACTGGAATGAATGGTCCATGGTATCAACCCGTGGTGTGGAGTTCAGTGTGGTCATTCTATTTACCTGTTTTTAAAGGAAGGCTTTTGAAGTATCCATTGTGTGAAAGCTGAAGAAAAGATACTTTTCTGGCACCCTTCAACCCTTCATCACAGTTTTCTGTTTTTGTTTTGTTTTGTTTTTTGGTAGTGGTACTAGGAATTGAATCCAGGGCCTTGTGTATGCGAGGCAAACACTCTACCAACTGAGCTATATCCCCAGCCCCCCTTTGATAGTTTTAAAATACTAATGGGTTTTTAAAAGGGGAGAGGAGGGGGAATTGAGCATCCAAAAAATTCATAAAAAGAAGCTATAAGTACATCCCTGTTCTGTTAGCGCCGTTCATGTAGAATACTTACGGCGCACTCAGCGGCCCAAGGCTGTTTATGGCTTATGATTCATGGTGGCATTAAAAACAAGGCCTGTTCTGAAACAGGCATGCTTGCAATAGACCTTTCTCTTCTGCATCACATCACCTGTGCTCATGTAGTTGTCAGCTTTTGTGACAAAGCACATCAGGTTGTCCCCAACACCAGGGCCTGTCACCTATTGCTCCTTCAGCTAGACTTACTCCTCCTTACTAGGCAGGCAGCTAAATTTTCAGTATTGATTGCAAATCCCATTCTGAAAGTAATTAGGAAGAAAAGTCCAACATAGCAACACCTCTACTAGGACACTATTGATTGGAGGGGGTGGTCTCCTTGTTATAAGGAATTCTAGTCTCCTCTCTGTTGAGTGAGGGGACTATGGATTTATATGCTCAGTAATCCAACTGGGGTTTGTGAACTGCCTTTTTGTTTTTTCCTCTTCCTTCTTTTTTAACCCAAGAACTAATGTCTTTGTCACTCTGGTCAGGGGTTGCCTCAGTCAGTAGCAGTCCAGGTGGGAGGCCAGAGGCTAATCCACTGAACTGACCCAAGACACACGGATCTGGCTCTAATTAGATTGGATTTTTACTAATTTGAGGTTAAGCATTTCCAAACCTAAGATTAGAAACTGTAGGATGCTGTAGCTTACAACTTCAGCAGTTATTCAGGTACATACCAGTGTGGACATGGGAAAACTAGAGCTGCTAGTTTATGCTCTGAACACTGAGAGAGCTGTCCTGTCACACCCCACAGTCAGAATAGTCTGTCTGCTCTGACACTGGTCAGCAAGGATAGGCAAGGTGTCAGAGTGCCGGTCGTGGCCTGTGGGGGATGGAGGGGCCTGGCTGCTAGTCATCGAGCTGATGAGAGGTGCAGGCCTCTTTGTGGTTGTTTGCACCTGCTCGGAGAGAGGCCTGGGAACCAGGCTGCCATCACTGCTTTCATACTTGTGACCTCCAAAGAGAAAAGGTGGCATTTGGGCTTCCTGTGGCAAAGTAAAGACAGGGCAGGCATCTTATAGAGTCATGTTATACAGCAAAGAGGTCATGAAGACAATGGAGAGCCAGGTCCCAGAGGGAAGAAGGCAGGGTGACGTTGAGCTTCCGAGGACTGCGGCTGCTTCTGTGCAGATTCCTGATCACCACAGAGTGTGACAGGAAGGTTTCTCTAATTGCAGGCACCCCCGAGCTAAGCCCAGCTGAGCGGAAGGAGCTGGAAAACAAGCTGAAGGAGCGGGAGGAATTCCTGATTCCCATTTACCACCAGGTAGCCGTGCAGTTTGCTGACTTGCAYGACACACCAGGCCGGATGCAGGAGAAGGGTGTTATTAACGTAAGTACAATGGTTGCCACTTCTCCCTACTTGTCAAAGACCCACAAGTAAGTGTGCCTTGCTCCCAGGCCCACAAGCAGGGAGCTGTTAGGGTCAGATTAAAAGAGCTTGTGCAAATGAGTTCCTTTTTTTTTTTTTTTAACTTTTCCTTTTTTCATTGTCATCCCAAAGCAATGTATGATTTAGGTTTCCATGGATTCCTCAGGACGCCAGGTTCATTTCACTGGTGGGAAACTGAGGCACATGTGCCTTCACTGGTGACAGTTGCCTATGGTCCTCTGGCTGTGGGTTACTATAGAATCAAGTTTCCACAGCAGTTAATTCATCTTTGAGGTGCATGCAAGTCATCTGAGCAGTTTTCTCAAAACCAGTTTCTCTCTCTCTCTGGCTATCTGGGAATTTCCAGTCTTTTCCCCAGAACCTCTCAGTGATGTGTGGGCTGAGCAGTTGCCAGGCCCAAAGCTGTGTACCATGCTGTAGTCAGCAGGGCGAACCCAGAGCTTTGTGAATGCAAGGCAGATGCTTTGCCACTGAGCTACATCCCAGCCCAAGAGTAGGTTTTTATGCCTGTGGTGTTCCCTCTAGACCGAGTGCTGAACAGAGATTAGGGTTGTGTTGAGTAAGCTTACTCTTATCTGTACTGTATATAGGACATCCTGGATTGGAAAACATCCCGAACCTTCTTTTACTGGCGGCTGAGACGTCTCCTGCTGGAGGACCTGGTCAAGAAGAAAATCCACAATGCCAACCCTGAGCTAACCGATGGCCAGATTCAGGCCATGTTAAGGCGTTGGTTTGTGGAAGTAGAAGGAACAGTGAAGGTAGGTGGTCACCAGAGGAGCCTTCATGTGCTTCTCATCCCCACGTGAGGGTTGCAGGCTCTTCATGTAAGAATCTACAGGCCTTGAAGGGCAGGAATGGAAAGGAATCCTAGAGGCCTAAGTCCTTTTTCCCATATACACATAGCCAATAACATTCCTGATATCTTATTAGAAGAGGTGAGAGGACATATTTTGCAGCTCATGAAGTCATTCAGCAAATCTTTATGAACACAACATTCCTAGATACYAGTAGGACCCTGTCCACACCGATTTTTGTTGTTGTGCTAGGGATTGAACCCAGGGCCTTGTTTTTATTGGGGTTTTTGTTGTTGGTGGTGGTGCTGGGGCTTGAGAACCCAGGGCCTTGTGCATGTGAGGCAAGCACTCTATCAACTGAGCTATATCCCCAGGTCCCACACAGATCTTATCTCTTGAGGGAGTCAAATGAGTCAAGAGGTCCTGCACTAAACACAGCAGATAGCATAGTCAAAGAGAAGACATCCAACCTTGGGGAAGGAGGAGAGACAGAGAATACTTCTGGAGAAAGTAATATCTCAGCAGAGACTCAAAAACAAAGTGGGAATGGGAGAGGTTGGATTGGTGGCGGGGGGCAGGGGGTAGGAAGAATGTTCCAGTGCATGATAGCAAAAGCAGTATGCATGCATAGAGCAAATATTTCAGTATGGTTCAGAGATCAAGTGCTGGATAAGAAGGGTTGGGGTTAGGGTGCTGATCACAAGGCCCTGAATATACTATTGAGGAGTCTAGACTTTATCCTGAGGTCTGTGGGAAACTACTGAGATATTTTAAGCAGCAGAATGATATGCTCTGATTTCTGTTTTAGAAACACTACTTGGGGAGCTGTGGAGGATGGAATAGAAGTGGGGTAGAAGCAGGAAGGCTAATAGAATGTGATAGTACTTTGGCAGGAGGAGATGCTACAGACTACAACGAAAGATCTGATTAAGTGAGAGATGGGAGGGAATGTCCAGCCTGCATGTAAGGAACTGGGAATCCAGCATCTTCTCAGGGTGATTCCATAGGAAGTATGCATGCCATAAAGCAGGCCCCTGGGATGGCATTCCTGGTGCTCTTGTCTCGTGGTTAGGGATGGGGCAGGTCGGAGGCCAGGATGACATAGCAGACACACTTGCATTTGGCCCTGGAATAGCAATGTGTGTAAGATAGGGCACACTAAGGATGGGAAGAAAAAGCTAAATCTGGGTACAGTGGTGCACACCTGTAATCCCAGTGACTCAAGGCTGAAGCAGGAGGATTGCAAGTTCAAAGCCAGCTGTAGCAACTTAACAAGGCCCTATCTCAAAAAATTATTATAAAGGGGTAGGGATGTGACTCAGTGGTTAAGCACCCCTGGGTTCAATCCCAGTACCAAAAAAAGAAAAGAAAGAAAGTAGGGACTGGAGTTGTAGCTCAGTGGTCTACTGCTTGCCTAGCATACACAAGGCCCTGTGTTTATTCCCCAACACCGAACACAAAAAAGTTAACCTTTATTAGCAGCTAACAGTTAGTATATGGATTAAATTGTGTTGGTATATATTTTATCAGAATATTGATAGTATGTGCTAAAAATATACTTTTCTGTCTTTCTGTTAGCTCTGTAATCAAAACCTTTGGTGACTACCAGGTTAGAGTATTGATGGAGGGCTGGCTGCCCGAGGGTGGTGGCTTGAAGGGTTTTGGCCTACAGAAAGGGGCACTCTGGCTTCTTTCTGGAAAATGTCGCCTGAAGCCTCTGCTAATCATTCTCAGCAAGGAACTCCAGGATTCACTGTTGGTTTTTAAAGCCAGTGCAGTAGGGTGCTTCTAAGATTCACCTTTGTGTTAAGTCTGCCCATTTCTTTACGACTGAAAAGCTTCTTTGGATAAATATTTCAGATACGCAGCAGGGGAGCGCAGCCTTCTCCGACATTTGGTTCAGGTTAAGGTCAGCCTGTGGCATCATAATTGAGTGAGACAATTTTGTCAGTGGCTACTGGCAGCTTCTAGTGGAAGTTGGCAGTGAAAGTCACGCAAGTGTAAAATAAGAGGTTGTTCTCCAGTTAAGAGTGGCCGGCTAGGTAAATGGAGTGTGTGTGTGTGTGTGTGTGTGTGTGTGTGGCCAGGAGAGGCCCGAGTCGCTTCCTACCGCATTAGTCACTAATGGACGTGCACAGCCTCAGTAGGCACAAGGATGAGGAGAAGGAATAGTTTCCCCCCAAGCGTGAAGTGAGTAGATAGGCCCCTCGCTTGCTCCTTAGCATCCTGCTCCCAGGGGGACAGTGTGTCTGAAGAAACAGGTCATTGCCATCTCTTACCAGTGGAGAGAACAGTTGACTATATGTGCACAGGCTAGAACAAGTACAGGAGACACCTCCAGTCTCATAGCCCAGGAAGAGGCTGAGCACTGGGAACCAATCATACCCAAGAATTGAGACAATTTCTCAATTCTTGTTCCAGTGTACAAAAGACAGCATCCTCCAGTCTACAAAAGACAGCATCCTCCAGAATTCTCCATCCAGGGGATAGCAAGGAGAGACAGTAAGGACGGGTGATCCTCTGAAGTCAGGGCATATGGCTTTGAAACCTCCTTCCATATTCTGCAGGCTCAGCAGGACCTAGTTTAGTGTGGGGTGGGTGATAAAATCTGCAGCGCCCTTGAGAGAAGAGAGTGTTGCAGTGTTCAGAAGCCACCGGGCCGCCTCTGAAGGGCTGCTGTAGAATCTGCTTCTTGTTAGGAAACCGCTTAAAACCTTTTTTTTTTTTTTTTTTTTTTTGGTTCTTCAAACAGTGACAGATTTTATATGCTATGTCTCTCAAGTTGCAGAAAGTGTCTAATATGCTGTGTCTCTCAAGTGCAGAAAGTGTCTAAGTCTAGACCCTCGCTTTGCACCAAGAAGTGACCCTCTAATCCTTACTGTGGTGACCGTGGGGAAGGACATGTAGTGATAGGCATCTACTAGCCATGCCGTGTGTTCTTTTTTCCTAGAGAATTTGTTTTCTTAATCTTAATCCTAAAAAGGAGATTCGAGGACAAAAAATTAAAGACACTGATGTTATATAACTGAGAAGTGTAATTCTTTTGTTTCTCTTAGAGGTATCCGTTACCATGAATTATGGTATTCTGTTTGGATCCACTGGGACAGTCCTATTGTAGGAAATGGTAAAGTTTATGGTTCACTGCAGGCAGAAGCAAAGCACCACTACAGCTCCCTGAAAACAATAACAAGAACAGTGGTTTAAATTGGTTTGTAAGTGTGTGGCGCACATTTGTTTCATGGACATGTTTTCTGTCTTGATTTCTTACTTTCATAATTTGAGGTACGTAGTTTTTCAAACAGGCTGATTGGTCCTCCCCTTCAGTAGTAGAAATTGAGATTAGAACAAGGAGAAGAATGTGGGTTTTGGAATCTTACAAACCTTTGGGAGCCCAGCTTTGCCATTTACTGCTGGGCATATTATTTGAATCTCCATTTCCTCATATGTAAAATGGGAGTGACATTCACGATTCACAAGGCTCAGTAAGTTCAGGCTACATAAGCACAAAGCACAGTGGCCTCAGCACAGTGTATTAGAAGCTGAAAGTAACAACAGAGGTGTGTGACTTCACAGTGTTAATGGGCAGTAGGGATGCTGGGTGAAAACTCTGATTTGGCTGGCTGTCATGTTCCCACAGCTTAGTGCCTTCAGGTACTGTTACTTTCCAGATGGCTACTCACTTACCCATATTCYAGAGCTCCAGATAGGTAGCCCTTGTGAGGATAATAGGAAAAAGCCCCATTGATAGAGTCACTTAATCATACTTTTTGTGTAGAAGCAGAAAGGGAGGAGGTAAGGCACAACCAGGAAAGTGCTGCTTTGGCCCTATCATGGGCCTGGGGCAAGGTGGCTCTCAGGAGATGGGAGTCCAGCAAGCCACTCTGGCCCATGTGGCCTTTTGCTGCTGTATTCCAGAGCCTCTGAAAAAATCACGTTGCTTCCTGTATAGGTAAGGCTTATAAGTGGAGGCATATTGAAATGTCTTTCCAAAATATGCACTTGCTCAGGGATGTATGTGTCATCGCGTCCCACTGCACTGGGTGGCTCCTAGGTGAGTCTAGGTGAGAACTGCAAGGAACTTTCCCAGCTGGAGGTGTCTCTAAAAAGCTCACAAGGTGAGTTCTTTGTAGGGTGTGGCGATCATGGCTCACTCCTTGGCTCTGCTATACCGTTGCGCACAGCGGGCTTAACAGCTTTTAGAAACCAAACTTTCCAAACAGGGTATGTAGATTTTTGTAAGCTAGACTACTACATATAATATGAGGCTGAGTAGAGCCTAAGATACTCCTCCATTGTTTCAGAGAGAAAGTGTCTTTATTGGTATTAAAATGTCTGATTGGCATATCAGGCAGGTGACATATAAGTGCAGGCCCGTCATAAGGTTAGCCACCCATCATTTCACACTTATTTAAAATCCACACTGAGGGCTCGAGTTGCGGCTCAGTGGTAGAGTGCTCACCTAGCATGCGTGAGGCATTGGGTTTGATCCTCAGCACCTCGTAAAAATAAAATAAAGATATTGTGTTCACCTATAACTAAAAAATAAATATATAAATAAATGAATAAATAGATCGATCGATCGATCGACACTGAAATACTGGGAATATCAGTCACATTTTCCTAATTCTAAAGAGAGAAGTGATGATAGCTTTTTTCCTGGAACTGGAATCCCTGTCCTAGATGGCTAGAATGTCTTAAGACATTCTAAAGAGGCCAGGCAAGGAGTTGTAAACTCCAGAGAACCCAGCTGGGACATGTTAGCTCACAACAGCATATGAAGCCCTACCAGGTCTGAAAACCAGGGCCATGGAGGCGCATTTGTTTATTCGTGCTAAACACATGGATTAGGACTTGCAGCCCTTTTGCCTTTGTGCACTCTGGGCTGTGACCTACATTTTATAGGGGTTGGGGCTTGACAGCTGTCATCCAGTGAACCTATTTACATGAACAGCAGTTCCATATATAGGGCCCATATTTTCAAGCAACTGTAAAACTTAGAATGTGCTGTTCTAATCTTGTCTGGGAACTTTCTTAAGTGTTTAAACACCTAGCATATTCTGTGGCTGCAGGAGGGGAAAGCAGAAGAGTTTTCTCTAGAGGGTAGCTGGCTTTCCAGTGTAGTGTCTGAGCATCGTTAGAAGCAGGCATCTCGTTAGCTAATACATTACACCAATCAAGGAGAGTTATCTTAAGCCACAATTAATCTGCTCCCTGGCATATGTTGATAGGAAAGCATCATGCTGTTTCTTAATTAAAAGCAAACGGATTAAAAATGATTAATAAGAGTATTAAATATTCTCCTAAACTAAAGGCTTTGGGATTCTTGGGTAAATCTAGTTGGTTTTTTCCCCCATCCTGAAATCCAAGAAGCATCCATTGTTTTATTTTTCCCTCCCCCCAAATCTTTCTAAGTAGGGGAAGGTATAAATCTTGGAACTATAGAGAAATCTACTTTACCAGTGATAGAAATGGAAATGTGGAAGGGCTGGGGATATAGCTCAGTTGGTAGAGTGTTTGCCTCATAAGCACAAGGCCCTGGGTTCAAAACCCCAGCACCAAAAAAAAAAAAGGAAAGAAAGAAATGGAAATGTGGAAGTTTAGATGGCAGTGATTGGAGTCTGGACTCCAGGTGTGTCTGTCCCCATATGGCTCCTTATCCCAGAACTCATGAGTGAGTTAAGACAACCACATGTGGGGGAAACAGTGCTACCCATCTCCCCCTTGGCAGTAGTAATTGATGTGGCACTTCCTTTCCTTAGGAGCAAAACACTTCCCTGCCACTGAGCCTCAAGAGATGCTGTTGAACAGGGCACCATGGCCCATGCCTGTAATCCCAGCCAGCCCCAGCAATTTAGCAAGGCCCTGCCTCAAAATAAAAAAAGGGCTGGGTTCAATCCCCAGTACACACACACACACACACCAACAAACAAAACACCTTCAGTCCTTTGTGAGGCATAGAGAAGTGGTCTGGCTCCCTCAGGTTCGCACTGTCACGAGGCACCATCCCAGCTGAAGAAGAGCTGATCTGTCAGTGATGACAGGTAGAGATGGGCAGATCTGGAGCCAGAAAAGGAAATGGACAGAGAGCAAGAAAAAGCTCACTGCTGGTATCTAGTCCTAGGAGTGCATCCTTCATGTGTAAAGGGCTCCTTACAGGTTTTTAGAGACATCAGAGTCAGTGAAGTGGCACATAGTAAATAACCAATCACAGCTAACTTGCCAGCTAATTTAGGACTAGGAAGTGAGAGTCTGAAAAGAACTACGTTGTTCGTTTGTTTTGCCATACCGGGGATTGAACCAAGGGCCTCATGCATGCTAGGCAAGTGCTCCACCACTGGGCCATGTCCCCAGCCCTTGTCATTTTATTTTGAAATGAAGCCTTGCCAATTGTCCAGGCTGGCCTCCAACTTGGGATCCTCCTGCCTCAGCTTCCCCAGTAGCTGGGATTACAGGTGTGCGCCACCACAAACGGCTAACACCATGTTTTTAAAGGCATGAACCAGGTTGAAAACAGCCCAGGACCTATTTTCCTGCTGCGGAGGCCTCTTGGAGGGTGTGAGGGGAATGTCCCCTTGGTGCCTTCATAGGCCCTGTGGTTGCAGTGGTGCCTCTTGTGTCCTTGCCTGTGTCCAGGTTTCCTCTTGCCACATGGCAAGCCCCGAAGCCTCTAGTTTCCACTGTACCCACCTATTAAATTACAGCAAAACTCATTGTCATTCTGACTTTGACTTCGTTAGTGATAACAGAGAAGGATAGCGCACCTTTAAATGACGAGCTTTGTGTTTAATTACCCAAACAAAATGACATAAATATGAATGAGCCCTAATGGTGGTACTTGGTTTTCCGGAAACCATTAACAAAACGATTCCTAAATGATTTGTAAAGAAAATGAGAGGAGAAGAGAGCAAGGAGAAGGCTATTAGGCTTCCAACACACTCCTGAATTATTATGTAGTCAACTACCTAAGAAATACTCAGCTAAATGATCTTGAAAAACAGGAGGCAGGCAGTGGTTTACTGAGTCTTTCAGGGTTGTAGACTTCCTAACCCTTTTTCATACTCTCATAGCTAATAAGATGGGGGCAGGTTTCTGTCGTGGTGGCTCTTCTGTAGCAGTGAGATTTCTTCCAGGGTCTCAGTGAAACAGTGGCTGGACTGCAGGAGGCTTCCACAGCAGGACCAAGGCACAGTTCAGGTCCTCACTTGCCAGGCCTGGCTGGGACCCGAGACACACTTTGGGAACTATGTTTCAGTTTCTCCAAAAGAAAAAAAAAATTAACCAAACTACCCTAATTTCTCAGTCACACTTTACTAAGCCATGTGAGCTATTAACTATTTCTCTCAAACCTGTCAGGTTATTGAATCTCTTAGCCTTTGTAGCATAGGTAGCTACCCTAAATCTGGCAACAGTGTGGGGTGAATCCTGATGCCCTGGCAGAGCCCAGCTGGAGGATCTGAATGTGTCTGTGCAGCTCACAGGAGAGAAACAGGAAGTGCAACTTCCCTGTCTCCTCCTATTACAATGGCCAGCATTTTTTACACTAATCAAGCTTTGGGAGTAAACTTTCCAGTAATTGATCAGGTGATGGGGCCTGGCCTGATCCCAGTTTTCACTAAGAGTCACTGTTTGCAGGCCTATGTATGGGACAATAATAAGGACCTGGTGGAATGGCTGGAGAAACAACTGACAGAAGAAGATGGTGTTCGGTCAGTGATAGAGGAGAACATCAAATACATCAGCAGAGACTACGTGCTCAAGCAGATCCGCAGGTGAGACCAGCAAGGGAGACTTACCTGAACTACAAGGGCTTTTTTTTTCTTTTTTCAATGGGGGATTGAACACAGGGGCGTTTAAAAACTGGGTTACATCCCCAGCCCTTTTTAAATTTTTATTTAGAGATAGGGTCTCACTGAGTTGCTTAGGACCGCACTAGGTTGCTGAGTATGGTTTTGAACTTGCAGTCTTCCTGCCTCAGCCTCCCAAGCCACTGGGATTACAGGCATGCACCACAGTGCCCCACTAGAGGGACTAGTTTCTTTGGAATAGAAAGTTTGGAACAAATCATGACATGATGTCCCCAATTTTTGTGGTCTCTTGATGTCGGAGACTGCTATACAATACAGCCCTGAGACACATTTCTTTCTCTGGTTCCCAAGGGCACTTAGTAATCTCAACTGGATAAAAGCTTAGTTTTGTTGCACACACCTGTTAGTTCTGAATACACAGACTCGAACCAGATGAAAATTCTGGGAGAAAGGAAAGCTAACTGTRTGGTACCTGCTTGGGCATTTTCATAATATTTGGAAATATTTAATTGTGGAAAAGTTACAAAACTGTTCTTAGTTTTAGAAAACACCCCTCTATATATCTGCTCCTAAATTTACCTATAACTTACATTACCSCATTTGCTTTTATCATTTGTGTGCTAATAGAGTTTTGTTTGTTTGTTTAGTACCAGGAATTGAGCCCAGGGCCGCTTAACCTCTTCACCACATCTCCAGCCATTTTTTTTTCTTTAGTTGTTGATAGAACTTTATTTTTATTTATTATACATAGTGCTGAGCATCTAACCCAGTGCCTCACACAAGCTAGGCAAGTGCTTTACCACTGAGCCACGATCCAAACACCACTCCCTGCCCCCACCCCCCCACCCCCGTTTTTGTTTATTTTGAGACAGAGTCTCCCTAAGTTGCTGAGGCTGACTTTGAACTTGCAATCCTCCTGCCTCAGCCTCAGGAGCCACTGGGATTACAGGCATGTGCTACCATGCCCAGCTGAGATATTCTTGTACATAGCTATAGAAAATTTGACATTAATTTAAAAACTTTATCTTCAGCCTGCCATCTGAGCTGGGATGTGTGGTGGGAGGGTGCTGGCCCAGCAGGTGCATAGTCCTGGATTTCATCTCCAGCACTGAAAAGAAATTTACCATTTGTAGTCCATTGCTCACTTTGAGATTGCCTAATGTGGTTATGTGATGTGGCCTTCACAGAGTCCCCATCTGGAGGCACACAGTGTTCATCTGCCACTCCTGATTTGATTTGATTTCCATCACCTGGTCAAGATCTTACTCAATTTCTCCACTGTATAATTACTGATTTTCCCTCCTTGCACTTAATGAGCAGTCTATGGGAAGACACTTTTGAAGGGGAGCAAGACATCTGTATGACCATCAAAATTTTCCCTTAGACTTAATGTCCACTGGTGATTCTTGCATGAACCAGTCTTTACAATGAAGTTGCAAAATGATAACTTTCCAGTGTCAGCCACCCTTCCCAATGATGAGTCAGCACTCAGATTCTATAAAGAAATTCATTATTGGTATAGAGAAAAGAATTTGTGTTTTCACTAATTTATCACTGTATTTATTTTGCTGTCATTTGTCCCTGATTTAGCCAGGGCACCCCTTTCATGTAGATTTCTGTCAATGCTGGTGGTTTGGGTTTGGTTTGTGATATTAGAAATAGAACTCAGGACCTCATACCCACTAGGCAAGTGCTCTACTTGTTGTTTTATGGTTGTAGATGGACAGATGCCTTTATTTTATTTGTTTATTTTTATGTGGTGCTGAGGATTGAACCCAGTGCCTTATGTGTACTAGGCAAGCGCTCTGCCACTGAGCTACAGCCCCACCAAGAGTTGGAGGGTTTTTTTGTTGTTTTTTTGTTTTTGTTTTTTCTTTTTGTCATTACTGGGGATTAAACCTAGGGGTGCTCTATATATACCCCAGCCCTTTTCATTTTCAGACAGTGTCTTGCTAAGTTGCTAAGGTTGGCCTTGAATTTGCAATCCTCCTACCTCAGCCTTCCAAGTTGCTGGACTTGTTGAGGACATTTTAATGTAGGAAAGCAAGCCAGTGGGCCATGTTAGCATGTCTGCCTGACAGTTCTAAAGCTGCCCCAGTTGAGACACTTTTCACCATCCTCAATCTGCTTCAGCTTGGTACAGGCCAATCCCGAGGTTGCCATGGATTCCATCGTCCACATGACCCAGCACATCTCACCCACTCAGCGAGCAGAAGTCGTACGGATCCTCTCCACGATGGATTCCCCTTCCACGTAGGAAGAGCTTCCTGCCCATCCCTGCCCTGCCTCTGGAGAAAAGGGCTACAGCTGCCTCTTACAACTGAATCCACTGTAATGAGAAGGCACAGGAGACCCAGCACTGGAGACAGAGTGGCATTTTGCTTTCCCTTGAATGTTTCAGGTTATGCATGACATCTGGGATATAGGATCACAAAGCCCAATCACAACCACCCCGCCGTTCAGTATTTATTACCCCAGCTGTATCAACAGTCCTCTCTCCCTACACAGGACTCGGAAGGCAATGAAGGGTACAGCAGGTACCATGAGCTCTTACTACACTGCCCCGACAGCCCCTTGACCCCGGCACAGGGATGTGTGAGGAGTTTTCAGGCAGTTAGCAGTCCCCCGGCCTCATGAGCCTCAGCCACAGGCAGCAGAGGAGGGCTGGGGCCCAGGAGAGAAGGAAACCTCAAGTCCATTGTTTATCACCCCACATTCTGCCCAGCACACAGTAGGCACTGGAGAGGAACCAGTCCCCACTTAACTACACCAAGATTTCTGCTTATGGAGAAAGGCCAGAGCCTAAAATTGCTGCAAGCTCTATCAGAACTCAAAGATGAGGGGAAACCATGACCCAAGAGCAAAAGAAAATAGACCAGGTTGTGATTCTTAACCTAAGATTGAGGCCCCTAAATTAACTTTTCTTAGTATACATGGATGGTGGCTGACCTGCCACCTCTCACCTAGCTCATGTACCTAGGAGCCGTGAGGTCAGGGTGTGAAAGGCCCAGCCTCTGCCCGATGCACACTCATGCTGCAGGAAGAGTAGCCATGAAGGGAGACGTCGCTCYACTTAGGACCTGGAAGGTTGTCACTGTTAAGCCTGGAGCTTTGACAGCTGCAAGAAGCTAACCGTCGGTGCCTGTAGCACCGCTCATCCCTATTTCTGGGGCATCTCTCCTAGCAGCCCACATTTCTGTCCTCCCTGGGCCTCGTCTCCTTCCCTGAATGTACACAGCAGCAGGCCTTCCCACAGATGCTGGGAGGACCCGGGGGCAGCTGTGCTCCCAGCACCAGGCACTGGCCTTCCTGCTGTTTGAAGGCTTCCAGGGARTACGGACTCCACATGACCTTAAGATCCCTCACAACTCAGTCATGGTGCTGCTATCCCCCAGGCTTTCTGGTCCCTCTCCGGCCAGCAGCGGGGGCCTCCACAGGGGTGGTGGAGAGAACATATTTTCAACAACCAGTTTATCCAAGAAAAGAGCTTACTGATTCCCCATTGGTTTTCCTAAAGCAAGAGTGGCAGGTGATCAGGGCTGGGGTGGCATCAGTTCCTACAGCTCAGCTAATTGCATTTGTCACTGACGACCAAGGAGGAAATCACTAAGATGCAGTAGAAGCAGGGGTATGAATACTTCTGAACAAGCTAGTTTTGAGCCTTAACCCTGTAAGTCACACACAAGAAAGGGTTCCGCCTCCCTCTCTTCTCCTTGTACAGAGAGAGCGGCGGAACGTAGTAGTACTAGATTGCTGAGGAACACTACAGGGCTGGATAGCAGCGGGCCCCCTCCAAGAGTCGGGGCCTCAGGCTGCCCGGCTGAAGGTATAGGTGTTTGGTACTTTCCAAGAARGGCAGGAAAAAAATGGAGGATAATTCCCAGTCCAGGAAGAAGCTTGCACTTTTGCTAGTTTGCTCACTTGTAAGTAAGAACTGGATTCATCTCTGACCAGATTATCCCTCTGCACTTTTCTGTAATAAGTCAAATCCCATATGCCCACAGGTGAGAGAAAATCATTTCCTCCCCTGGATGCCTGACCTGTGGGGGGTGGGCATGGGTTGTGCTCATTGAGTGCCCCTTGTCCTACCCGATTATGACACATTTAAATGAACAAGGTTCCTCTCCAGAACCCTGTAGTGCCTACTCCCCCTTCCCCGGGACAGGGATTGTCTGTTTGGAGAGTCAGGAAGAGTCGCAGAAGTGAGCAGTCGGATGTTCCCACAGCCCATGACAACGAGGGGTTACTGAGGWAGAAGAAATGACGTAGTGACCAGGACTCGCTGGAACCGAGCTTGCTGTGTTACCTTTCTCTGTTCACAATGCAGCCTGCTCCCCTCTTGGCGAGGAGTCGGTGGACACACCGCCGCCACGTGAGGAGCTTCAGTCAAATGAACTCTTTTCACATTTTGTTGAAATAAACCTTCAACATTTGTAGAAGAGCCACAGTTTGTCATTTCAATCCACGCCCAGCCACCCATCTGTTCCACCTCCAGCAGGGCTGTAACGGGGGCTCAGTGGTGGGGTGCGACACCCAACACCCTTTGTCTCCAACCTTACACAAGGATGAACAGGGGAGGCCACAAAGGGCTGGCCTTGCCACCTGTCTCTTCCTGAATGAAGGTAGAATCTGCCAGGCCGCCARTGCCCGTGCCCAGCTGAGAAGCAGCTCTTTAGTTTCCATAGAAAACCTTGCCTGCTGAGAGCTGGACAGGGGCCTCGGTGGGGGGCCCCCAAAAGAGAATCAGCTGAGGGCAGGGAAGAAGGCGCTTGGCCTGTGCAGTGAGGATAACAGCTCCAGAGCCCACCGCAGCCCAAGAGCCTTTGGGCCTGGAGCCCAGTCCCTGGAAGTCCCATCCTAACAGGCAGGAAGTTGGGTCTTTTGAAACAGTCTGTTATAAAGTCTGGGCTTCCTGGCCCTTGTTAGAGACTTGGAAGGAGAGGTTTTAAGTTTTCTTAGTACTGGAGAACTTACTGGATTTTGAAGTCTAGGCACTGGGGGCAGGRCACTCAACTGTGCCTTCGGCCTTTGGTCTCGGTACCCTCTGTAAATGCTGTGAGYCCGTATAGTTGAGGCAGGAATGAGCATCAATCCCTGAACATCTGCAAAGAAAGGTACAGGCCACGAGAAAGCTGGGGGGATCACTGGCCCTGGCCGATTATTAAACTCAGTGCCCTGTTTGTCTCTGTCTTTGGAATGTGTAGCAAAGCAGAGAATGGCTTCTTCCAAGATGAAATGAGATGTTAAAGTTTCGAAAGTATCAGGTTGAATCACTGTAAGTCAGCTATTCTTTAAAAGGCAGTCACAGGGACACTGTTTCTCTGCCTCCAGATGCTGCACTCAGTAGACAGGGCAGGATTCCTGGCCAGCAGAGAGGCCTCGACCTCCTCCCCCAGCCAAGCGAGAACCTGACCACACCACAGGCCAGGGCTCTTAGGAACTTGTTTGACCGACAGGGATAGTGCTTTCTTCTGCTAGGAAGTGACACTGCACCAGTTTTTGCTTCATTTTGTTTTTGTTTTGTACTAGGATTGAACCCAGGGGCACTTAACCCCTCAGCCACTTCCCCAGCCTTTTTTTGTATTTTATTTAAAGACAGGGTCTCACCAAGTTGCTTAGCACCTCGCTTTGCTGAGGCTGGCTTTGAACTCTCAATCCTCCTGCCTCAGCCTCCTGAGCTGATGGAATTACAGACATGTGCCACCGTGCCCAGCTTCTCCAGTTTTTAAAATAAGGAAATTAAAATTCCCATTGGCACTCCTTTGGGGTAATAAAGGAAAGCCCGAGGGTTCAGGGATCCAGTCCTGGACCAACTCTAGTTCCCCAACCAGAAACCAAGAACACTGTGATGAATGCAAATGGCTAGTGGCCATCCAGGGAGGGCTCTGTGAGAGGCTGAGAGGCGCTGAGCTGGGAGGGAAGCCCAGCAGCTGGCTTCTCAGGACCTGGCATCAGAGGGCATCATGCCAGATGCAGAGCTGGCATCTGCAGAGAGTCAAGGGCCCCTGGGGTATTGAATGGGAGCAGAGCAGCCATTTGGGGGAGTGATAGACTCATCAGCATCAGTGATCCCATGAAGATCCTTAAATGCCAGTCAAGGAGAGGGGGTTTGTCCCGCAGATCGAGAGACCTCTCATGATCTGTGGGCATGGGTGGGGAAGGCAGTGTACTGAGGTGTAGGTTGCAGCCTGATTACAGAAAAAGAGCACCATCCACATTGGGTGCTGAGAAGCCTGGGTCCAAGCTCAGCTCTCTTAGATGTGTATTGTCCCAGTGTTGGGGCAGTCACCCAGAACAGTAGGTCCTGCCCACCCACAGGAAGCCTAGAAATAATGGAGGGTGATTACCAGCTACTTTCAATACTCCAGAAATCCTGTCAGTCAGGTGACAAGAGCTCACCATGCTGCTGTCTTCATGTCACTAACCCCGGAAGTGACTGGCTCCTTGTGATGGCCAGAAACAGCTCCAGGGGGCAGCTAATAAGAATGGCTATAGGACAGCTCCAAATAGGGACTCCCTGGTGTTAGACAGTGGAGCCTCTGCCCCCAAGGACTTGGGAACACAGTGGGCTCAGCCCACTAGGAACTATAAGGAGATGGAATAGACTGCAACTCAGAGGGGACTGAATGAGTCCCAAACATCCTGATTCAATGACTGTTCTAAAGTAAGCAGTAAGTACTGTGGGTGAGGAGAGATGGAAGCCATCATAGAAGTCTAGGCCTCGAGTCAGGAGGAACCAAGTGCAACTTGCCCATCCTAACAGGCCCTTTAACGGCCACTTCAAAGGGCAGACCTCGGAGCAAGTCTGAGCTGGGCTCTCCTGCCCCTCACTCCAGTCTCTCTTGTCCTGGGGGAAGTTCCTGACTCCTCCTCTGTGAAATGTGGATAATTAAGAAACCACTATGGGGCTTTTGAAAAATCACATTAGTTGGCATGAATCAAGTGCCAGGTGTAACCAGCAAGTCCTCAACCCATCGCAGTTCCCTCCATGCTTTGTCCTTCCTTATTGGGGACCTATTCTCACTCCGGTGTACCTTCGTCACAGGGCATTGTCAGAGAACCTTCCCGTGGTGAGGACAGGGTCTAGGCCTTGTCTAGGCCTTGAGTTAACAAGGTCACTAAACACAAGTGCCACTGGGGGGCAACAGCCAGCTGAGAAGGCTGCCCTCCAAGCCTGTCCCGCTGGGGACCTGAGGAACTCAAGGGCTTTCTGGAATCCTGCTTTCCCTGGGAGGTTACCCAGGGCAGAAGGAGAAGACTCTGAACTCTCTTCTAGCTCTAAAAAAAATTATAATCTGGGATCGCGGATGAAACTGAATCGATAGCAACATCCCATGCCCAGTGCTTAGGAGTAACTAGTAGATCAGGGGCAAACACCCAGGGAGGCCCAGCCAGCCTGCTGTGGTGATCGGGGCTGRCTTAAGCAACAAACCAGCAGCCTACCCAGAAAGTTAGCAGAAATGAGAAGTGAGACAGCCACAGAGGGTTTTACTGAGCTCTCAACCCGCACAAATTGTGAACCCCTGAGCACATGAAGAGGAAAAGCAAGAAGACCCATTAAAAAGTAAGAGCCAAGCCAGGCACACCTGTAATCCCAGTGACCAGGAGGCCGAGGCAGGAGGATCCCAAATTCAAGCCCAGCCTCAGCAACTTAGTGAGATCCTATCTCAAAATTAAAAACTAGGGCTAGGGATGTACCTCAGTGACAGAGTACCCTGGGGTTCAATCCCCAGCACCAAACAAATGAAAATACATTTGTTAAATTTGAAATGACTAATTCCAATGAATAGGCAGAGACTGTCAGACTAGATTAAAAAAAAAGAAAATCCAACCATATTCTGTCTACAAGAAACACACTTTAAATTCAAAGACACAAATGGGTTAAAAGATAAAGTACAAGAAAAAAAAWCATACACAAAAATAAAAATAAAAGTMCAGAAAACCAAATACTATG